TTTGAGACGGAGTTTCGCTCTTGTTGCCCAGGCTGGAGTGCAATGGCGCGATCTCGGCTCTCTGCAACCTCCGCCTCCTGGGTTCAGGCAATTCTCCTGCCTCAGCCTCCTGAGTAGCTGGGATTACAGGCATGCGCCACCATGCCCAGCTGATTTTTTGTATTTTTAGTAGAGACGGGGTTTTCACCATGTTGACCAGGATGATCTTGATCTCTTGGCCTTGTGATCCACCCGCCTTGGCCTTCCAAAGTGCTGGGATTACAGGCGTGAGCCACCGCGCTGGCCTTAACAAGACGTTTTTAAAAGAGGAGAAAAGTAATTGCATAGTCTGCTGATGTCCCTTAGTTTTCCTGCCCAGCGGTAATCACAATGCAATACTGGTTTTCTAAAGAACCGGTCGGGTGTAGTGGCTCACACCTGTAATCCCAGCACTTTGGGAAGCTGAGGCAGGACTGCTGGAGCTCAGGAGTTTGAGACTAGCCTGGGCAACATCGCAAAATCCTGTCTCTACTAAAATCAGGAAGGCATGGTGGCATGCATCTGTAGTCCCAGCTACTCAGGAGGCTGAGGCTGGAGGACAACTTCAGCCTGGGAGGCGGAGGTTGCAGTGAGCCGAGATTGCACCACTGCACTCCAGCCTAGGTGACAGAGCCAGAACTTGTCTCCAAAAAGAAAAAAAAGATTTTTCTTTTAACAGGAGAAAAAAGCATACAAAATTATTTTTTTGACACAAAATAGATGTACATAATTTTGGGTACATGAGATAATTTTATACATCCATGTAATTTGTAAAGATCAAATCACTGTACTAAGAATGATATTCTGATGCTAGAAATTTAGTCACTGAGGCAGATTTATTGGGGAGATGTTTTTGGAAATGACTTTTTAGTCCTCGTAAGCTGGGAAATCCACTATTCTACTCAAGGATAAGACTGGCACTTATTTGGGCAAATGAAAATGAGAAAATCAGGGAGTAAGGTCTAGGGAAGATAACTTAGAATTAAGACTGACACTAAAATTTTAACATAGAGGAACTAGAGCCAAAACAATAAATAAAAATAAAAATGATTACATAAGAACAAAAATGTGACTGTTTTCAAACGTTAGAGATTTTACTCCAGGGCTGTGCTCAAAAAGCATCCTGCTTGATAGTTTACCTGGAATCAAGTATTCTCTCCCCTTCCTACTAATATTACTCGTATATCTTATTCAATTTCTATACAGTTCTTAAGTGTTTTTTCAGTTACATGTCATTCATGCCAACATATCCATTTGACCCATTTAATTGATATTGCATGATTACTAAATATAAAATTAATAGTTCTGGTATTTTATTGCCATTACAATACTTATATTATTCTACTGCAGCTTTTTTGGCTTGCAGGTCGATTTCAACTCTCCCTGCCAAAACTGTCAGATTCATATTGGCGTGTCTGTTTATTATCTTGGTATCCCCAGAATTTACCTTGTATATTATCTGACACCTAGTGGATACGTAATGAATATTTGCTGAAGAAACAAAAGCCCTGTTTTAAGCACTGAATACGAATATGGTTGAGCTCCTGCTTTTAGAAGAACTTTCAACTTAGTGGTCATGTACTCCGAATATAATTAGTAGGACATGAACAAGGGTGGGTAAATAGAGGACAGACAGTAGAGAAAGACTGAATGTAGTCCGATTACATGGAAACAATTTATCTTAACATATTATTACAAACATTAGTGGTAAGGTGCATAACAGGAGACCCTTTACTGTCCTTTCATAGACTTGTGCCAATGATAGAAAACCTTACTGGGTGACAGGAAAATAGGTTAGATGAATATAGGCTATCTGAAAATGTTCTAATTGTACTTTATTTTTGAAGAAACAGAGGATAAAAACAGCCTTTGACAAGAGTGCATATTATTGGAATCTATTATCATAAAGAATAAGGTGCTAAAACAATTTACTTCACTAAAAAACAAGTCTGGCCGGGTGCAGTGGCCAGCACTTTGGGAGGCCAAGGTAGGCGGATCACTTGAGACCAGGAGTTCAAGACCAGCCTGGCCAACATGAAGAAACCCCGTCTCTACCAAAAATACAAAAATTAGATGGGTATGGTTGTGTATGCCTGTAGTCCCGATTATTCTGGAGGCTGAGGCAGGAGAATCACTTGAATCTGGGAAGCGGAAGTTGTAGTGAGCCGAGATCCTACCACTGCACTCTAGCCTGAGCGACAGAGCAAGACTCCATCTCAAAAAACAAACCAACCAACCAACCCCAACCCCCAACTCCCGCCAAAAGACAAGCAAGCAAACAAACAAAAAAAAAACAGAAAAAATCCCAAGGCTTTCTGGAGCTATTTCACAGGCTTCCTTCAGAAGATAAACTTTTTTTTTTTTTTTTAGACGGAGTTTCACTCTTGTTACCCAGGCTGGAGTGCAATGGCGCGATCTCGGCTCACCGCAACCTCCGCCTCCTGGGTTCAGGCAATTCTCCTGCCCCAGCCTCCTAAGTAGCTGGGATTACAGGCACGCGCCACCATGCCCAGCTAATTTTTTTTTGTATTTTTAGTAGAGACGGGGTTTCACCATGTTGACCAGGATGGTCTCGATCTCTTGACCTAGTGATCCACCCGCCTTGGCCTCCCACAGTGCTGGGATTACAGGCTTGAGCCACCGCGCCCGGCCTCAGAAGATAAACTTAAGTGTTACAGTAATGGCTTTATGGTCACAGCATTAACTACTTGATGACATAAAGCCCAACTATCAATACATAATGTTTTATTCTCAAATACTACGATCCTCTCTCCTGATGCTTTCATAGACTAGTTCTTATGTACTGAGAATCGAGGACTCCAATTCAGTCTCCTGTTGAGGCAAGGTAGGATTTCATCAAGAAATGTTGTATTTCCTTGATTTTCTGAAACTGCACTTTGCTAGCGCAAAATCTGTCACAAAAGACTTGAGTAAGTGGGGGGCATGTAAGTTCATTGTTAAAGGACTAAGCAATCCATTAGGGTCTTATAATTTAACAACCTATTTATCTATTAAACAGTTATTGAATGCCTACTGTGTATGTGACAGGCAGAATAAAATATCATACTACTTACTGGTAACAATAACATGTGGCTGCCAAGGCAGCTTAGTGGTTTATGAACCAGTCATTTTGCAGCATTGTGCTAAAAGGAAAGGAGAGAAGGTAAAATCAAGTTGTTTCTTAGATGTTATAATCAGATTTTGGGGAGCACCATGAATTTTTTTTTTAATTTTGAGAGACAGGGTCTTGCTCTGTAGCCCAGACTGGAGTGCCATGGCATGATCATGGCTTACTGCAGCCTCAAACCTCTTGGGCTCAAGTGATCCTCCCACCTCAGCCTCCCCAGTAGCGAGGACTACAGGCATGTGCCACCATACCCAGCTAATTAAAAAATTTATTGTCGAGATAAGGTCTCCCTATGTTGCCTAAGCAGGTCACAGGCTTCTAGGCTTAAGCAATCCTCCTGCCTTGGCTTCCCAAAGTGCTAGGATTACAGGTGTGAGCCACCAGGAACAGTCTGTTGTAAATTTTAAAGGTGGTTTTCTAACTTTACTCATTAACCTACAATTAGTAAGTTCTACCTTTTCAAGGTTCAGCGGTTATGCAGTTCATTAATAATTATCAAAAACATAAAATTGGGCCATGTAACCTGCATGAAAACTGCAAGTTAAAAAAAAATATTTGGAATTAAAACTGTTCACTGAAGTCTGGGACATATCATCAATGTATTTATAGTCTAAGCATTAATTGACCTAGATGACTGTTCTGGAAAGGAAATGACAGGTCAACAGTTCATTATCCTAAACACTTGGGAGCAGGTGTGATCCAGAATTCATAAATCTTTGGAGTTGAGGATGGCAATAAAGCTCATATACTGTGTATTACGGAATGTCCGGAATAGGGTCTGGGGCAGCGTACTATGATCAAACAAGTTATGCAATGAAGTGATGAATGTTCACAGTAAGTAAAATAAGTAGTTTATAAATGGCTTCACATCAATACATATCAGGCCAGCTTTTTTTTCCTCAGGTACTAAATTTCCTTATCTGTAAAATGAAGTCCTATTTTAACTTTTTCAAGTTATGGATTGACAAACATGACTGCTGAGTCAGAACTGAAATTATTTGTATCATGCACTAATACAGAGATATTGGTCTGGTGCTACCTTTGTGGATCAGAAGGGCTGGGAAATATCTCTTTATTACCCTTTTCTCAGTCCCAACAGTGTTTTTGCCTAAACTGTTCTATTTCCTTCTAAAAAAGTTATATGAAAACGTATCTATTGATGAGGTGGGGGGAAGAGGCATTAGAAAACTCTATTAGCTATAAATCACCACTACAAAACACAAAAATCTTGAAATGTTTTTCTTGAAGGGTAGAGCAGAAAAGATGCGATGGCAAAGCAGACACAATTATTGCAGCATAAACTATAGCTTATCTATAAAGCTGTTAAACTATTATATATTTGAACACGTGCATTTCCTAGGCTTTGGGAATACAACAGATGCAGTGAAGAATACAGACAAAAATTCTATCACTGAATTATAGAATTCTATCTACAATGGACATTATTTAGGTTACAAATAATCCCTCCAATCTGCTCATTTACTGAATAAACAGCGTTTAACTGTATACATGGCATTTCATTTTTCATGTTGTCCCTTGATGAATTTGTTTCTAAAATTTTGAACTCACTGAAGATGTTCACTCATTTGTTCTATTGTGTACCAAGTGTAGTGGATATAGTCAGGCTTGGATATTAAAACCTATACATTCAGAAAATTTAAAAAGAGCTACATCCTCTCCCACCCTCATCCCTGATGAAACAAATGGGAAATTGAGTAATTTTGAAAAAGTCTCGTAGTCTTCACCATGAGAAAAATGAGATCTTCCTTAAATTCACCTTATAGTGTATGTTTTGATTTTAAATTATATAGGGTAAGGCATCACAAGTTTTTCATTGCTTAGGTGTCTTCCTGATTTCAATCAGGCTTTGGATACAGCAGTGCAAAGGACAAGCTCCTACATTTTTAACCAGGGTTCTTAATTAGGAGCTTATAGATGAATTAAAGGGGTCTGCTACATCTTTCTTTTCTTTTGAGACAGGGTCTGGCTCTGTTGCCCAGGCTGGAGTGCAGTGGTGTGATGTTCAGTCATAGCCATCTTTGCCTCCCTGGTTCAAGTGATTCTCCTACCACCACGCCAGGCTAATTTTTAAATTTTTAGTAGAGACAGGGTTTCATCATGTTGGCCAGGCTGGTCTCAAACTCCTGGGCTCAAATGATCCACTCACTTTGGCCTCCCAAAGTGCTGGGATTGTTATGAGCCATCATGCCTGGCCTCTATTTTTAATAATTTCTAATAAAATTTAAACACAGCCAACAAATCACAATAGTGTTAGCAATAAATGTGACTGTCACAATTGAACTGATATATTCATATCGCATTACAATTGTTGCAGGTAACTTGAAATATTTATGCTCACCACATTACTATGTTGAATAGGGCCACTGCTAGATCTTATTAGTTAAAAAAGCACATATATTTCTATATCAAATTTTTATAACTGTTTCAGTATTATTGGATCTTTTTTGTAATTCAACGTACTGTACTTTAAATGTTTAAAGGATTTTAAAAAGCGATCAATAGATTTCACTAAATGGACAAAGGGGTCCATGACACTAAAAAAGTTAAGAGTAAAATGGTTTAGATGGCCACAGCCATCTGTACCTCTAGGGGGTCTTATACTTGGTATTTACTCAACACATATTTATAGAATGAAATAATTTAAAGTTGGTTGAAATTGTGCCCCCAAAATATCAATACTTTGAATGTCTATAATAGAGTCCTCTAGGGCTGCTTCTTATTT